CATTGGAATTCCGTTTGGACTCAGAGTAGAAACTCTGCAAAAGTGGAAGGTTCTGCAGTTATAATACTGGTCCACTTAGATTTATTCCACAATTGTGCAATAGTCGAAATGTCAAAAGTTCATCAAACATTTTGAAGGCTGCTTACCTTGTGCACCTGGTTCTCCAATGGAGGTCTTGAGTGTCTGTTTAGATAGGACTTTGTTCTACACACTGCATTAAACAGGGTCTTCAGGGTGATAGCCGAGACTCTCTAACCAGCAGGCTCAGACTCTCTCCTGTTAGACCAGCTTGTCTTTGTGACACATGTGAAGGGCTCTTGGCCTTTTATAGAGAACAGCACTGTGGGCGGGGAGAAAGGGCTATTCGAACACACCCTCGAGTGGTAAGAGAGGGCTGCCCTTCTTACAAGGCTACTGGTTCCTATAGAAACTCGCAAGCCATGACACTTTAATCCAAGCAACCCAACGCTGGGAAAGGTAAAAGCCAGTGTGGTAAGCAAATTGCAATGAAATCCAACACATTTGGTTGATAAAACAAAGGCATGTGCGCGTGTTTGACTTTCCATTACCCTGTGTGAGAATCGTGATATTAGATGTGGGTTATAGGTTAGTGATGATTTAAAATGATGCACATCCAAATGCCTCTGGCATTTTTGATGCAAAGACGTCAATACTGGATATACCAGTGACGGAACACAGCCTTTGATGTATCTAGGTCAGCAAATATAAAGGTCTAAAGCAAATTTACTGAGCTTACAAGCACTCATTTACAAGCTAGGCACAATAATCTATGGTTACATAAAACTCTAATGGAAAGGGGTCTGCTGATTGTAGGATTGGTGTAAGACAAGTTGTTGCTTAAAATGAAATGTTTTTTGGCCTTTTTGCTATTTTTATTCAGAGAGATATTCATATCGGTTGAACAGTTGGTTAGTCCACATGCTGAAACAACAGAAACATTTATAAAGCAAAGATTAGCGGCAACACCGTTTACTTCAATCATTTTTTCATGCAGAAAATAAACGTTTACATGCATAATCTCACACTGAATATGCTTAATACTTGACAATGTATGGTGATGAAAACACAAGAAAATGCAGAAATATAAACGAGTGCTACCTTTGCAAGACATTGACGGAATAACAAATACAGACAAATACAGGAATAACTCATTTCAACGATGCCCTCTTGTGGCAGGATACAGAACAGCTCTGCAAAATTTGAATGTTGGATTTGCTGTATAGCTCTCTAATATTCAATATTCTCAAATATCTCTGCAATATGATATTAGTCGTATTTCACCAGATATTTCCTAAATATTTATTTTGATAAAATGTGTGCAGAGTAGTATTAGGTTATGTACCTTCACATGGGTTATTTACAGTATCTCTCTCTAACTAGACAGCTGTCTACGACGTCATGCTTGGTATTTATGTCTTTGTTGACGGTTAGCTCATGGTCAAAGTTCAAGGGGGCATTGCAGTAACCTTAGAGAATCAGAGAGGTGGATAGACGTAATGATCCTAGAGTGTGGTGATGCCTCTCTGATGGTTTCTAAGAACTGTTGTGATCACATTGAGTAATATTTAAGGCCTTTAACAGCAGGAAAGGCTTACTCTAATCCTTGAAAAGCATGAAGTAAACAAGTGCTTCAATGCTGATAAAAGTTTTTAAACAGCACTTAGAAAGTCATTTAGAGATTACAAACAGCTGTACAGGAAATAATTGCCTTATAAATAGGATTGTGTGATATACCGCAGCAGAAGTCACCCCCTGGCTGGTCCCACACCAGTTTGGTGGATTTTCTTAAAATTACTGCACTTTAATTAAGTGAAGATAGCACTGCATTAGCCCAAATGGGCAACTTGAAACTAGTTTAACAAACTTTAACCAGTTTTCAAATGAATCCATTTTAGTGCATCAATAAAATTGCTAATCTGTTAATCTTTGTGGTAAATTATAGTTATTTTATAGGTTTTTTTATAGTTATTTTTGAAGAAAAGAAAGAATTCTTATTTTTAACTATTAAAACTGTTCTTATGAATATTCATGAGATGATACAACATATTATACGTTTTTTTTTTTATGCATTATGCATTCATTATAATGCCTTAAGAATACCCTTATAATGTATTATAAATACGGGCTTCATAGAAAGTGTTACCCAGAATTCTACTACAACAAAGATTATATATATATATACTGTATACACACACACACACACACAGTGCAACCACTTAGAGCACATCGTACTTCTGAGAAAAGCTAAGTTTTTGTACACCACACACCATTCACAGTTCCTCCTGTTTTTCTTTTAAATGGGTCCCTTACTTTGAGCAGCAGCTGGTTTTAATGATTATCATGGGTCACCATGTAATGAACATCATGTGTTTTAGGGTCACCTTTAAATGCGACCTCAGAATACCACCCTGAGAACTATTTCACTATACTGTTTAAAAAAAAAAAAACATTAGAGGACAAGAAGGCCTCTAACCGTATATCTGTATAGCATGAAAAACAGGGCAAGGTTTAAACCCTGCAGTTTTCAGTGTGAACACTAGAGGACAGCATCCTGTTAGTTATATGATTAAAGCTTCTCCGTCAGATGACACTTGGAGGTCACAGGGGCATGGAGATAAACTGACTGCACTGATGACTGTTCATGACTGCATCTTTATTTACATTTCCTTTGTTTTGGTTAATCCATAATATATATATATATATATATATATATATATATATATATATATATATTCATTTCAATATTTAAAAAAATATACTATTTTTAAATATTTTTAAATATAAATATGTGACAATAAATATTAAATAAGACTTAAGAATGTGTGTGTTTTATTACTTTATTTTTTACATTTAAACAAATTAGAAATTTTTTTTAAAATCTCTTTTATCAACTGATTCAGTGACAGATGTGTGTTATATATTGGTGTAAAAATAGAGTTCTTGGTGTTTTCCTTTGGTCCATCTGCGAGTACTACTCACACACCTTTTAATTCTTTCTTTTTGCATTTGACAGTACATAACCTCTAATAATACATCTAATTTTCTGCTCTATTAGCCTCATTAGTGGTGTTTGCATATTCATAATGTACACAAGCAGCAGTTCAAGCTCCATCACCACGACAACACTATCAGTTACACACACACTCACTCACTCACGCACACACACACGCACACACACACTCACACTCTCACACACACACACACACTCACTCACTCACGCACACACACACGCACACACACACTCACACTCTCACACACACACACACACTCACTCACTCACGCACACACACACGCACACACACACTCACACTCTCACACACACACACACACTCACTCACTCACGCACACATACACGCACACGCACACACACGCACGCACACGCACGTGCACACGCACGCACACACGCACGCACACCAACTGAAACCAAATCAGAGCTTATATATGACTGTATGCTTCAGGAGAAATACTCAATACATACTTCATAACGTCCCAGACCAGTCACTGCAATAAAGGTCACACTGTGTACAAGGCAGACTGCAGACAGACATCTGTGAAGTCTTCAGGGACCGGCCTATAAATGTTTGATGACAGCTCTCTCTGAGTATCACTAACATATGGAACCTGAGCATCTCTCTGAAAAAGACAATTGACTCCTAGCCTGTTTTTTACATTTAAGTTGTAAATGCAATGCTCAAATGTTAAGTTAAATATTATGCATATGTAAGTACATTATCTCAGACTGACACAATGTATATTGTCTCAGACATATCTAGCCTCAGTAATGGAGCCTTCATTAAAAAAAAAAAAAGGTATCAGTAGGTAATAACACCACGTAATATCAGTAATACACAATTTGATTTATACTACACACTGTAAAAAACATGATTTTCTAAGGTTGCATAAATAAAGCAAACATTATTGGAGTATGTTTTACCAAAAAAAAATACTGTTTCTTTCTACAAAAAAAGAAAAAGAAAAAAAAGTCAAATTGTGTACTTCAAAATGTCATGTTTAATTCAGCGTGTTACTTGCCATTTCTATGTAATTATGTGTGAAAATTACTAGCAATCTCTGAGTGAGAATTTCAGTGCAGATGGAATGATATTTGTCTGGTTTTTGGCCATTCTGAGAAAATCATGGACTGCTAAAAACAGAAATGGAAATTATTTTTTTGAGAGTGTAAGAGTGTAGATTCTTTCTTTCTTTCTCTTTCTTTCTTTCTTTATTTGTGTGTGTGTAAATATTGTGTAAAATATTTCTAATTTTTTAATATATATCTAATTTGCTATCAATAAATTATATTGTACATTTTATGTATTCATTTTATTATCTACAAAATAAAATATTTATATTTTTTATTTAATTTATAATATATATTTAGTGCAGATGGACTGATATTTGGCCTTTCTGAGAATATCAGCAGCTGCTGAAAACAGATATAGAAGATATTTTGCATTATTTTTGCAGTTTCAAATTTCACTTACAAGTGTGTAAACATATTGTGTAAACTATTTTTTTTAAATGCAACGATTATTAATTTTCTACCATTGAATTATATATTTCAATATTTTTTATATATTTCTACATATACTGTGTGCGTGTTTGTATATATAGCATATATATATATATATATATACACACACACACACACACAACAAATTATACTGTATATTATGTATGTATGCACACACACATATGAATTTTGTCCACTATATTACCATTATTCCTGCTTCTTCATTACTATGCACATTTAAAGGACCAGGTTTAGAGATCAGCACAGGTTTCGCTCGCATGCACACACTGATGCATGCTTGCATGTCTTTAGTTTAATATCTGGGTGTGTAACGCTGATAGTAGGCAACGAATCGTTCAATAATCGCACTTGAGCTGAAGGACTTATCTCAACATCTTATCGCCTCGATGGGGGACCCTAGTAACAAGAGGGGCGGGGCTTCGTGTTCCAGAGGCAGGACCGCAGCTCAGCTCGCGCTGCCTCTAAATCAACTCAATCATCTCTCGCGCACGGGAGTGCGGGCTGCCTTTCAGGTAAGAAATCATGATATTTTCCTTCTTCTTATTTGCAAATGAGTCGTTTTGAGGCATCGCACGTATAGTTCCTCTTTCGTTCGGAGTTCAAGCCGCTTTGGTGTTGATTTATGGTGGACGTGTTATGATGGAGCCGAATGAATGGGCGGTGTTGAGTCTCGCGCGGCGTGATGTTTGAATTCGGCAATCTGTCAGTGAATTTGAAGCCACTGATTTATTTATTCTTTCTCGCATGTGAGTGGATTGACCGTGCATATTGATAATCTGTCATGATTTCGCCTGTTGACATTTTTAATATGTTATTCTCGTAAATTCAAGGATAATTTCAGCTATTCTCGGTGCATGGAGAGTTGCTTGACACAGTTTTACCTTTTCTGAATATATTGTTGGAAGACACGCTGATTTTGGGTTACATGAAGTCCCACGGCGTATTGACATCGAGGAACGGGGTCGCGTAGCCTCCCTCTCACAGATGATGGATGGATATCTTTGGAAATGTTATACGGCCTATTTACATACAAGGTGCCAACGCAAGCTGTTTGCAAATGACTTAAATGTAGCGATGTGAACGAATCGTTTATTTTTATTCGGACCAGTTCAATGAACCGATTCAAGAAAACTGGTCTGAATGATTCGATCCGAGCGCCTTTCGAGTCATCAACTCAGCGACTTACTGAACCCAGAACCGTGATTGACTTTAGCATAGCCTACTGGTGTTTTTATTTATGGCATATATTTACTGTATATAACATAAATACAACGAGTAGTATGTTAATCTTACGTTCTGTTCGAATTCAGTGCGTTTTCTTCGAATATCATCGAGTCGCAGTGATCCGGGTTAACTACTCGTTTAACAGAACCGTTTGATTCGAAGACGTTCGATTCGTAATGAGTCGAAATCCCATGAGTGTGCTTCTTCTTCTTCTTCTTGGTTTTATGGCGAGTTGCAATCTTTGCGCATGTCGCCACCTACTGTGCTATTGTGCAATCAGGATTTTCTTTTATTATATTAGTTATTCTGTCTCAACTCTGAAGCCATCAAGAGTCCAGGTATCGGTTGGCCATGAGTGTGCTGATTGGGTGAGATGATTTTGGAGGGAACCCAGAATTTGTCTGATTGGGCGAAACGTAAGTTACTTGAATAAGAGAATAACAGACATATGCAGAATGACATAAAATGCAAAATACATCTGGTTTTATTAAAGAGCATTTTTAAAAATTGTAGTGTCGTTTGATGTAAATGCAGTTATGATTGGGATTGAAAAGAGTTATCTATTTATTATTTTATTTTTATTATCTAAATAAGGGGGTTTCAATCTTTTAGATGTCACAGACCCCCGGATATGATCATCTTAATGTCATCTTAAAGACAACTTTATTAATTTTAAAATTAATATTATTTTAAAAATATTTGATTAGTATTTAGTTTCTATTTCTAGTTCTGTTATGTTAACTTTTTTTCTACTCACTACTGTACTGTTTTATTTATTATGTATTAATTTATTTTTAAAATCAATGTATTTATTTAGTTTGATCTAATTTCTCAATTATTTTTTACACTTTTTACACATTTTTCCCTAAACTTCCTCTAAACCAAAGTACAACAAACTGAACAAAAAAACACAATAACATTAGTGATAAAACATTAAAAAAATTTTTTATATCCAATTAAGCTTTTTTTTTTTACTATCTTGACACCACCAACAGAGCTTAGTGAAATTATCATCTACACGTCCACATATAGCCTATGTCAAAATTGTTATTTTTTAAATTTTTTTTAGTTAAATAGGCCACGCCCTTAATATTTTGTCAGCTTCAGGCAGCCATGTTGAATTCAAAATCAATGCGTCTTTGATCATTTTCACATTGACATTACATGTTGAGACTACATGTATGGTGAATTTGGTAGGGATCAGGCAAAACAAAAAAAAACTAAAAGTAATTTGCAAAAGTAGTTGTAATATCCCTGATAGAATGCGTGTCTTGAAGCTATAATGTTGTATAAAGAACATGGCTCTTGGTAATTTGTAGATTAATTGTACCTGCCGTTACATTAAACTGTCAGTTCAGCCAATAGCTACTTTATTGCAAGAGCATCATAACAAACATTGTTGTGATAAGCCAGGAAAGCTAAGCAGGTAACAGATACATCACAAGATGATGCATTGAACCCTCACTACAAAATGCCTTCTTGGCTACAACATAATGTAGTCATATTTGCTTTAGAGTTGCACGCACATCTGTTTTTCAGCAAGCAATATCAAAGCATCACACGCTATACACACTTTAATGGCAGTCTTCTCCACAGTTAATAGCCTGAAATGGATTATTGTCTTAGGTAATCACACATAAATGGATATATGGCAGTATCCATACATATCCATATATAAGGCAGTTCAGGCTCTTTGAAGAAATCCGTGTTTTCCTCCAGTGCAGCGTCACACCCCTTGGAATCCGTACTGCACTTCAAAGATATGACAGCTCACAATGAATGAATGTACGTTAGCTTAGAGCAGTGCATATCAGTATATAAGAGACTGAACTAGCAAAGCCAGAGGCATCAATAGATCTGAATTTGATCATTTGGTGCGATCAATAGAGTTTAAATGTAACCCGAATGATTGAAAGTGCATTTCATTTCTTCATCACCACCATCTCATATGTCACATGAGGCAGGATGGCAAATGCAGTGTGACTGTGACACAAATAATATGCACTTTGACCTAGTTTTAACAATCTGTTAACATAGTCAATCAGTCATGCCCTTATTGCTACCAGCTTAGTTGCTTTATAAAAAACGATCGGGTTTGTGTTGACCTGAAATGCATTAACGTTCACATTTATTTAGCGTAAATTGCATTGAAATTTTTGAATCTGTGTTAGATGATACACTGAGGATGGCCGTCGTCACTATGCAAGGAAAAGGAAATTAGCACTGCTGTTTGACAGGAAAAAGGACTGTTTCTGTATGTGCTGGACTTTGTCACAGTCATATGAGGTCAAGCTGCTGACCTTTTAGTATTATATTTTGTTCTTAAGGAGATGCATTAATTTTTATTATGGCACATGAGTCTATCTATCTATCTATCTATCTGTCTGTCTGTCTGTCTGTCTATCAAATCTTACGATTATTGATTGATCATAATTTCTGAATTTCTGAGTAATAATGGATTTATTGAGATATTATATGATTTGAATTTTTTTTTTTTCTTTTGCTTTTATTTGGTGAATGATTCTTAAAGAAAAAATTTACCCAAATTGTATTTATATATTTATTTGTTTGTTTCAGCATATTAAATATTGCATATTTAATTCTTTATGCTCATTTCTCTGTTTTTACATTTAGACCTGACATGACCTTTGCCATCATCTGGTGCTAACAAGATTAAGTTAATTTAATTAGTTAACTCCGTTAACTATTGTTATCTTCAGAAAATCTCAAAATTATTATCCATTTTTCTTACAGTACATTATAATATTGTGACGCCTAAATGTAGTTGTAGCTTTTTAAATGATTATTTCAGTTTTTCATGTATTTCATTTAGAAAATTGTATTTGAATTAAAAAATGTCAGTTCATCCATGAATGAGATTATTTCTGGGCACAACAGTCTAATTTGGTTGCATCTTTCTGATTCATGAAGTCTGACTGGTGAAAAGGCCTCTGGTACTCTGACTTGACTTGACACAAGAGAAAGGATGTGTGTTTTTGTGATGAAAGGGCACGATGGGAATTAAAATGCATGATTAATGGACAGAGAGCTTGATGGTAAAGGTTATTGCTCATTATGTGTATTGATTATTTTCAGCCTCTTTTTTTCAGCTGGGTGATGTAAAGATGTAGAGAGCATTAGGGGTGGGTGGTTTGACCAAAATCTTGTATCACGATATGAGTATTTTTTAGAGATGCACCGATTGCAATTTTCTTGGCCAATTTCCGATTTTTTTGTTAGTGTGATCTGCCGATACCGCGCTGGTAACAAAACGGATCTGCTCGGAATCGGAAGAAGTGAGACTGACTGACCGGTCACCGATCCGGGCCGATCATGAGGAAAATCGTCCGATTCCGATCCCTGGCCGATCGATCGGTGCATCTTTAGTAATTTTATATCACGATAACGATATATATCACAATATAGTTATTTTTTCTTTTAAAAAGGTTTTTATGATATTAAAATCTTTGATACCATAGAATTTTCATAATCCTTGCCACCAATGTCGATATCAAACTAATACAAGAAAATAATACCACAAAAACTTAAGCTCACTGGAGATAAATAAACAGTCAGTGATGAAATAAGGATAAGAAACTAATTACAAGCAATAGGACAAAAAACTACAATAAATAAGAAATACATTGTGTAAATAAGTCTTCACTGTGTAAGTTATATATATATATATATATATATATAGGCATAATTATT